CACTGAGGGTTGCGATCCGTTGCCGGACACGGAAAAAGATAAAAAAGACAAAAAAAATAAAAAATAAAAAGTATAGTAAGAATAGTTTTCCTCATTTTTAGAGTGAGAAGACTGGAGACCAGCAAGGTTGTGTGTTAGGAACGAGCCAGGGCTAGAACGCTAACCTCCATGGTCGTATCCCACCAGGCCATACTTCTGCTCTTCTCTGATAGCCCCAACTAGGTCATCAACGCTTCCCACCCCCTTCAGTGCTTACATGACGCTATCACAGTGTCACTTGTGTATTATTTATGTAACTATTTGTTTAATGTCTCTTGCCCTAGAACATATGAATTGTAAGGACTGAACCTGTTTTTCTCACATTGTATCCCAGTGTCAACCTTGCATGGATGGGTGGATGAGTGAACAGGTTGATATGTCACATGTTTCTCCTAATCATAGTGACTTCATGTGTTGACATGAAACATTTCTCCTAATCATAGAGACTTCATCTGTCTGTTTTCAGACCTCAGCCTGTTGCCAGAAATGGCCCTCTCAGTGGACTCCTCTTGGCACCGGTGGCAGTGGCGAGTCAGAGATGGTGTTCCCCGGTCTCCGTTGGAAACCACACCACTACTCTCCCCAGATAAGAGAAGGCAGAGCTACAACCTGACACAGCAGCGGGTTGTGTTCCCCAACAACAGCACATTCCACCCAGATTGTGAGAAGGTCTCCAGGAGATACTCCAGCAACAGAATCCACACAACCAAATACACCCTCTTCACCTTCCTCCCCCAGAATCTCTTTGAGCAGTTTCACAGGTACACATCCACTTGTCCAAACAATATACATTTTAACTAAGTATTTGCCACTTAGATCAACTCAGAGATGCCACCTTTCTTTTAATATCCAGATGCATGTACCTTAAGAAGTTTTTGTCATTCATTCAATAAGTTATTTATCAGGTCTATTCTGTCTCAGGCCAGATGTTGGATGCTACATGAGAAAAAGGTACATGAGAGAAAAAGAGAGAGACCATCCTCAATGAATGCACTGTCTAGTGATAGAGATAGACATTAATATTTTAACTATGTCAATTATAACAGGAATAGATACTTCCAAGAAGGGGTAGATGGTGCTATTAGAGTGAATAATGGAGAATTCTGGCCTAGTTAAAGAAGTCAGGGAAGACCTACCTAAGGAAGTAACAATTGAACCTAAAAGAAGAGAATGTGTTAACCAAGTGAGAGGGGCAGAGAGAAGTAAGAGAAGGGAGCCAGGAGAATGTTCCTGTGACAGACCTGCGTGTGCAAAGGCACTGTGGCAAAAGGAAACAAGATGAACTTGGAAAACTTGATAATGTAATCCACTCTTTTGAGATCTTGCATGTGAAATTATTTTTAATTATAAATCAAAATACATACTTATACATCATTCTAAATTTTGTAATTATTATTATAAGCTACCATTTATTGAGTAACCACTTTGCTCCAGAACCCTCTACTATGTACCTATCATATAGTATCCCGTGTAATATTTATCATAACCCTTTAAAGTAGGTAGTACTCTCCCCATTTTACACAAGAGGAAGCAGCTCAAGAAGGTCACTCAACTGGTAAACAATAGGAATAGAACTTAAATCTAGATCAGTTTGGCTATAAAGCCTATTGTCCTTATTTCTCTCTGGTTCTCACTCACCCCTTGCTTGCTCCTTCTAGATGGGCTAACCTCTATTTCCTGTTTCTGGTGATTCTGAACTGGATGCCCTCCATGGAAGTCTTTCATCGGGAAATCACCATGTTACCATTGGCCATTGTGCTGTTTATCATCATGGTCAAGGACGGCATGGAGGACTTCAAGAGATACCGCTTTGATAGAGAGATAAACTTCTCCAGCATTCAAATATATGAAAGGTAAGGGAAATCATGCCTCTGTGTTCTCCTGTACTAGTAGGTTATGCACATTCGTTGACATGTTCAAAGGATGGTCTCTTTTCTTACATTACATTTTCTTAAATTACATTTAATTCAGTGATTCTCAACTGGGGGCAGTTTTGACCCCTAGTGGGCATTTAGTAAGATCTGAAGACATTTTTGGTTGTCACAGTGGGAAGGAGAGTGCTACTGGCATCTAGTGGGCAGAGGCCAAGGGTGCTGCTAAATATCCTACAATACACAGGATGGCATACCCAATGAAGAATTGTTATCCAGTCCAAAATATCAATATTGATCAGTGCTAAGGTTGGGAAATGCTGATTTAACTCACATAAACATTCATATTATGAAGCACAAGAATGTTATTTTATTAAAGGTGGGTTGAAAGCTCAAGAATTAAACTCTAAATTTGACTGGATCATCTCAGGAAACAAAGTTCAGGAGAAATTCTTTGGTGGGTGTCAGGCAATCTCTCCCAGACAAGAAAATGTATGCCATTTCTAAAGCCTCTGAGGTTCTTGGCTAATTAACCAGGGAGGTTTTAGGACCCAGAGTTAGTGCACCTGTTCTTGACTGCAGGGGTGGAAAAGAAAGATACCTGCGGGTGACGTCTACATTCCAACAGGTGGAGTTTTCAACAAGCAGCAGGAAGTGGCCTGGAGTAGACACACCCATTCTCTGCAAGCTCCTTCCCCGTCACATTTCTCCCCTGGCGTTTGTACACTGGCCTTTCATTTTTAGTTTTGCTTTTGAAAGAAGAGAGAGAAATCTGTAGCAGAAAAAGCAAGTAAAAGATGAGAATGAAGTTATGAGAATTAAAGAGACAGGGCTGAGCAGCGATGAGAACGGAAGGGAGGAAAAGGCGGAAAAAGAAAGAAGACAAGAAACGAGTGGTGGTCTCCAACCTGCCCTTTGAAGGGCAGTCCCAAAAAGAGAACCCCAACAGACACCGCCGTGGGAATCGAATTAAGACTAGCAAGTACACCGTGTTGTCCTTCGGAAAAAGAAAGAAGACAAGAAACGAGTGGTGGTCTCCAACCTGCCCTTTGAAGGGCAGTCCCCAAAAGAGAACCCCAACAGACACCGCCGTGGGAATCGAATTAAGACTAGCAAGTACACCGTGTTGTCCTTCGTACCCAAGAACATCTTCGAGCAGCTACACCGGTTTGCCAATTTCTATTTTGTGGGCATTGTGATTCTGAATTATATCCCCGTGGTCAATGCTTTCCAGCCTGAGGCAAGCATGATACCCATCTGTGTGATCCTGACAGTCACGGCCATCAAGGATGCTTGGGAAGACCTCCGGAGGTACAAATCCGATAAAGTCATCAATAACCGAGAGTGCCTCGTCTATAGCAGGTAAAGCAAACACCTCCTGGAAGTCTGGCTGGCCCAGGTCTCATTTTTCCGTGGCTGCCACCACCACAGCTACTGCTTATGGAAGGGATGGAGTAGGGAGATATTATTTTGTCCCAGTGAAACCGTTCAGTTCTCTGTAGTATAGATTATAGTCTAAAATTTAAAAAAAAAAAATAGAAGATTGAGTCAGTCACTTGAAATTAAGTCTTTGTTACACAGCATTTTCTTTGCTGTTTCAAATTTATCCAATATTTAAGAATTTTGAATAAGTTCTCATCCCTTCTTAGTCCGGTGTGGCCATGAACAACTTCAAGCATGGTTGGGGACCCTGGGAGGGAGGAGGCATCAGGGTTTTTCAGGGACACAGTGGAGGGCTGGGTTAGAAGAACCAGGACAGGAGACACGCTGCCTGGGTTGAACATTGTCTCCAGCACTTACTATGTGACCTCAGGCGAGTGACATAATCTCTCTGAGCTTCATTTTGTCATTCATTGAATTGAAACAATTCTGGAGGTCATCGTAAGAATTACATGAGATGATTATTAGAAAATCCTTAGCTTCACACCTGACATAGAATAAATGCTTGGTAAGTGCAGACAGCAATTGCTTCACTGTTAGGGTATAAAACTTGTATAAGCTCCATCGTTAAGGCTTCCTCTCTGTGTTGAAGCTCATTCTTGAGCTTCCTCTCTGTGTTGTCCCAACCAAAGCAAAGACCTGTTAGGGTATAAAACTTGTATAAGCTCCATCGTTAAGGCTTCCTCTCTGTGTTGAAGCTCGTTCTTGAGCTTCCTCTCTGTGTTGTCCCAACCAAAGCAAAGATGGCAGACATCCTGGCTCGCCACATTATTTGACGCCATTTTGTTGTTTTACAAAGCTATAATTGAACAGATGGTCAAAGTGGGTTGTTAAAAGGGATAGAACATGCTCTCACCTGGTAAGGATCAGACAGTGTTAGAGTGTCCCAACTTTGTGACAAGCCACGAAGCCCCAAAAGAAGCAAGGGAGTTGAGTCTGGGTTTACGGAGAGACTACAGTGACAAAATGTTTACTGTGGTAGCAGATAGCAGCTTTAGATGATTGAAACGCTAAGCAGGTGAAGGCTTGATTTCTTGCCAAATAGGAAAACATCTATCTTGCTCAAGGAACACCATAGGCCTGTCTTATTCCCTCTGACTTTATCAACCCCAGTTCAGCAGAAGTTTCATTCTGGTCATTGTTGGAAGGAAAGGGGCTTGATTCGAAGTGTGCACAGCAATCAGTTAGGAACTGTTTACTTCTAAGGAGGGGTTCTCTTTCCCAGGAAAATAAAAGTTGACCTATTTGGAGCTGGCTGATGAAAGGGTTTATAAACCAAAGTCCACTTGGAAAGTTGTAGCCATGGGAAGCCTCCATGGAGACTAACATAAGGACGTACTTGTCTCCAAAGAACCCCTAAGAAAAACTCGGTGCTTGTCCCTCAGCAGCAAATGCTTCTGGCCTCTTTGCTTGGAGGACCACAATTGCATGTCTGCAAAAATTAATCTGAAGTGATTTTTTCCTTTTTTCCAACTAGATCGAATTGTCTTGAGTGCTGTGAGCACTCTGGACACCTAGAATTAAGATTTAGTTGTTCCTCACCTTTGAGTAAGGAAATTATAAAGAGAGGACAAAAAAAAAAAAATACTGGGGTGTGATGTCTTTCTAGGAAGAGACAGTTTTTAAGAAAGCAAATTTTTTCTTTTGGCACTAATCCGTCACTTTTTGTTTTCCACCTTTGTCCTTTCTTCTGTTTTTCATAGAAGATGCACAGTGGTGACCAGGGAGCTGGTTCCTTGGGGAGGAATGTGTGTGGACCACAGCGAGCCTGGTCCTGTTCTCCCCGCTCTGCCAGAACATCCCAGATTAATGGGCCTAATCTTGGGGATGAGCTCAGTGTGGATCAGACCACAGACTCACCTGTGCTAGGAGCTGGCCCAACCTAGGGCAGGCTATTGTTTTGTTCTCAAAATAGCTTTCAGGGAACATCAGAAAATGGAGATGATAACAATCTAGAAAAAAGAGACATTAGTCTACCAGCTCACTGGCAGGGAGGGACATAAAGGGTTTTCACGGCAGTATTTCCCAAAGTGGATTCAGTGGAATCACAATGACAAACAGATGGTCTCTGAAAAAAAGATATCCATGGCCCAAAACTGTATGCTGGTCCTCATGACCCATGGCTCATGGACTAAGAAAAGATACACAGTAAAGAAACCTGTTTATCTTCAATTAACTCAGCGTTGCTCCAAACTTATTAGACCTTGGAAATATTTTTTAATACCTAACTTTGGGAAATTTCACTTTTTCAAGTATAGCAAAATAATTGGTGACAGGAACCAAGAGTTAATTAAATAAAATGGGCTGGATCTAAAAAGAAAAGCAGTTTTACTCTGTACTGATAAATGGCAAGTGATCCTTGGCATCAGCATTAGGATGTGATAGGGAATGGTGGGGAGTGTGGCAAACTGGGAAGGCCATGCCTTAATCCCAGGAGGCAGAGCTGGCCACTCAGCTCCTCATGGTTGTTACCATGTGAAAGTATAGGAATTTTGTTGCCAGACTGAGTTTTGTTAGGGGACCTAGAAAGTAATATTTTTTGTTTGAAATAACCCGATTTTTAAGTGTTGGTAACTGATATAATTTTTTTAAATACTTCAGATTTATTTTATTTCACCTAAAGTTGTATTTTGCCTGTGAGCCCCCTAATTTGCAAAGTTTGCTTTATAATATCCTAGGAATACAGTGCATCTGCGAAAGAGTAATTAGATCATTCTTTTGAGGTTCATCCTCTTAGACAGAGAGGGGGTATGACCTTGAGATGAGAATGCAGACCTGAGAGGCAGAGACCTGTACTCTAGGCCCAGATCTGCAACTAACTATTAATAGCTTAAGAAAGTCATTTAAATCTCTGGATCTCAGTTTCCACTTACGTAAAACTTGGGACTGAGACGAGATCTTGTCCTGTGAGATGCACTTTGAAAGAAAAGAACTTGGGATTGAGACTAGATCTTGTCCTGTGACATGCACTTTGAAAAAAAAGAACCCACAGCCAAATAAATGTGGGAAACAGTATATGCATGATGCTTCTCTTGAGTCTAGCAATGCATATTAATATAGTGAGGTTCTTGGTCAACCCACAGTAAATAACCTATTCAATTTTGCTTAACTCAGCTGTATCCATTGAGATGTTCACCACTGCAGGTAGCAAAACCTTCAACTCAAACAGGTTTAGACAACAAGAGGACTTTGTTGTCATAAGTCACTCCAAATGTCCTGAGGTGGGCAGGTGACCATCATGGTCACGTGATCAGCATTGTAGAATCAGCTATCATCAATCCTTTTCATTCAGCTCCTCTTCTGTATCACCATAACCCTCAGACAGATTTTCCTCATGGCAATGAGATGGCTGCAGAAGCTCCAGCCCTCACATCTACATGTGATAATCCACAACAGAAAAAGGAAAGACATTTCTGGTAGCCCTATTTGAAGTTCAGGGAAGCTTACTCCCTAAACCCTCCTTACATCCTAGTGGCCCCCAGTGGGTCACATGCCCATCCCTAGGGGCAGGAGATGGGATTATGCTAATTAGGTTATACCTG